GCATTGCAGGTTTCAGATGTTCCTTCCATTAAAATGGAGGCATGCTGGTGGCTACGCCATACATTGTTACCTTGTATCCTTCTAGAGAACCTTTTATCTCTTAGGTTCTCTGCCACCAAGATCTAATGGAGATAGAGGAACTTCTGGTAATGGCCCTTTTTGTAGGGTTGGTGGACATACGAAGTCAAGGTCATTGTTCTCTCTGTTGTAAGCTAGTTGGGTGATTCTGTTTAGCGTATATCCAAAAAATTCCAGCCATAATATTTTTGTTCAATTGTAGAAAGCTACTCAGCCTTGAGCCCCCTCACGATAAGATGTGTGTGTGTTCATTGCACGCGTAATGCTTCCTTTTTAACCCCCGACTGGTAGTGTGCTCTAACCAGTTCAGATCTAGATTGTCTGCCACAATGAAAACAAATGATGAGGAAACCTATAGATACCCGTTACTGATTTTTAGGCCAAAAAAAAAAATAGTATGTTTTCTTATAGCATGATATTTTCCCTTCGTGACTAGTAAGCAACCAGTCTGTTCGCAGAAGAGATCAGCTTTTTTCCAGCGCTGAGCTGGTTAAACATGTGACTGCAGTGTCGTGGCTCTAAGAAGGGCCCTCGCATTGCATTGTTCTTGTTTTTCTTTCCAAGATATTGTTGTTTTTTTTTAAACAAAAAAAAAGGGAGGTATCCTTACAACGGTCTTTCAAAACCTCATTGATGCAATTCCAGCAGTGTAATCGTGTTGGTCACTCGAATCCCAGGTAAAGGACGAAAGGATGATCGGTGGCCGCGATGACAAACCGGTTTCTTATGAAGTCAACATCGATTTGATACGCTGCTGCTGCTGCTGCTGCTCGGACCTCTTCTTTTAGACATTTATCAATCGTGTCCTGGGGGACATAAAAACCCAGGAATTGTGACAAAAAATTCCCCTCTGTTCACGACGGCCACTAGACGGACTTCAATTTCACTTGGAGAATTCCTTTTTTTTTTCTTCTTTAAACCGTGGCCTCTGAAATTGCCCGTTTTTTGTCTTTTTGCAATAGCCGTGCCGGCTAACAAAGGGCAACTACTTGTTCCTAAGGGGGGAACTTGTTATTTCACAGGGGGAAAACAACAACCACTTCCCACCCAAGGTGTCAACTTGTGATATTTTGAATCTTTTTTTATTTCGTAAGCCGTTACAACTTAATACGTTTTTATTTTTTATTTTTTGTGCTTTTTACTGCATTTCACAATAACTAATTTTTAATCACACACGAACATCCACTTAATGATCCACCGTTAATTGCCGTATTGATTTAGACTCTTTTGGGTTTTATTGCAAAATACACCTTCTATATGTCATGTTTTTTTTTTTTTTTTAATCTGAATTAGCGTTCTGTACACATTATTTAGCTGGTGAGCGACTAAAAAAAAAAAGAAAAATGTTTTTTAGTCACCAGGGCTTGTTTAAATGTTTTTTTTTTCACTAAGCATACTTTGATGTTGAATTATTAGTGATTGCTAATCTCATTGATATCACGTGATAGTATAAAAAGCTGCACTTACCCTGCTACCCTTTTTTTCCCAACATTGAGCACGCATTTTTCAGTTCTCTTGGGTCGTCCTACGCTGATTTTAGAGATCATAGATAATGATACGACTCCAGTTTATAAAAAATTTCTAAACCTTTTTTTAAAAATGTTGTTACACTGAAAGGCCTAATCTGATTTCAGAAAGGTAACTTGAACGTAATGTTGCTGGTTTGAGATGAAGTACAAGTTACAAAACATGTCTAGTGCTCGCATACCCGGCTAGGTTCTGCCCTGACCTTTAAAGGTGAGGGTGGCTGGCTAACTTTTTTATCTTTTTTGATGTAATCCTGTTCTTCTGCATTTCGATTCTATGGAAGGTTCCCGGGAACCCCATGTGGTGTAAAAGAAGCCAGATTATCTTTGCTCATGATCTAAGGACACTGGGAAAGGGTTGTACGGTAGGGGGAACAATAGTTTTTGCTTTTGTTTCCTTGTTGTTTGACAGTTTATCTGATGCTAGATATCAACGCAGCACCCAGATGAATCAAAGATCAGCACCCACACTGAGTATTCTGGGCCAACTCTGGGTAAGGGGTCAAACATTTTGCTGTCCGTAGGCCTTTCAGTTTTGATTGAACAGTTCACATTTAAGCTCTGTTCCTTTAGCTTAGTTTTATTGCTTTGTAGCCTAATCATCTAAAAAGCTTTAGATTATGTTGTGCGGGGAAGATGGTGGATAGTATCGCTGTCTTCTTGTATTTTTTTTTTTTCTTTCCAACGCAACCAGACGTCAGATTTTCGATGTCTTTAAAAATAAAATAAAAAAGGAGGGGGGCAGCCAACTTACCCATTTCCTCCCAGTTTTTTTGTTTTATTTACTCTTTTCATATATTTTAATTTTCAAGAATGCAACACATCCTAGGAGGTAAATCTTAACACAATAAACTGCTGAATTAATGTCTTTTTAATGTTTCTTCTTTTAGATGTTCTATGAAACTAACAGAATCATTTTCTTGTTAAGGTTTAAATGTATGAAGAAAAAAAAACCAGAAAAAAAAATGAAAAAAAAAAAAAAATCCCTTGCACCTAAAAATCCTTTTTTTTTGGGTGTGACCTTAACCCATCTGTATCTGTTGAACATGTACTTTGTGATAGACTGCTCCTTTTATTCCTGGTTTAGTGGTAACTAATTGCTGATTTACTTTTTTTTCTTTCTCAAGAAGAAACAGAGCCTTTGAAAGTAAATATTGCCGACTTTCAAAGTGTACGTATATATTTTGTAAGCCCGCTCCCTGTTGAACCCAATTTAATATAAACTTTTTGCTTTCTCTTTGAAGTTTCTTTATTGAAATTTTTATTTACATTTTTTTTAGCTAGGTGAAACCTTCACTGCAATGAATCTTTGGTAGTAATTCATGATGTTTAACGAAAATTCTGTCTGTGTTTAATTACAATGGAAAAAATAATAATAAAATAAACCATGGCTTCTGGATTATATTTTCTCCCCTGTTAATAAATGCCCCTTTTATGCTAGTCACCTGTTTTAGTGGATGGGTAATGTGTAACTATCTCCCACTTCCCAAAAAATCTTCCTGTCCTGTAATTCCCCCACCCCCAGCATCTCCATAGTTTATCAATGTAAGTTAGAGCGGCTAAACTCTGGGAATGTCGAACGTTGCTGAGATGGTGAACTTATGATGCAGAATGTTTAGGAATGCTTCATGGAGGAGCTTGGTTTTCCAGTTAGAAAGACTTACAATGCTTAATAAAGTCTATTCTTTTAGTAAAATTTGTGGCTCTTTCTTTCAAAGTCTTTTCCTTTTTCTGTTGAATGTCAAATAAGTGTAATCGCCACATTGTGTTTGTTACAATATAAAAATGGATCTGGCTGCTCTTAGCTGGCGAATGGAACCAAGGCCTTGTTCACATCCTTTAAACAAGCTGCTAGAATACTTCAGTACTATTGAAGC